AAGAAAGATGTTCGATTCAAAATTTGAAAATTAGATTTAATTGACTTGTTTAGAACTAACTCAAAAAGTAAAACTTCAGATATTTCATTATCTTAAATTAACACAATTATAAAATAGAATTTAATCCTTGAGTGACATTCTAGCCCACACTCTTACCAGCGTGTGTCAGTAATGCACCAATTTCATTGTTTGCCAACCACCAAATAACATTAGAAAAAGAAGCTTCTTGCCAGATTATCAAACCCAATATTGGTACTAAATAGTGGGCGGGTTGGCTGGAGAGGGGTGTGGGTGGGGGGTCTGGGGGTCCTACCCCAGAAATTTTTTAATAAAGTAAATGCTATTTCCTGCATTTTGCTGTATTTTAACGGGTTGTTAAACGTCTACATTTACCTACATTTGAAAACACTCCACTCCTGTCAAGCATCCCACCCACACCCCCCAGTTTACTTAACGGTTCCAAGCTGAATTCACTGTCTGACTCCACATGTGAAACCTCCAGGTGCCTCCTCCATCAGTTTATTGCTCCTGCCCGGTTAGCTCGTCGTTAACTCACCCCCACCACTCTTTTAGGGGTGGAGATTTTTTAAGGGTAGAAGCAGAAATATTACTGGAAGAGGCAGGTCGCATGTGATATTAAGACACTCGTAAGTGGCTGTTGTGTTTTTGAAATTAGTGTTTATGTATTTTCAGTTTACACATCCAATATAAGTTTTTATTTGTTCAAGGCAGTTATATTTGTACATAACTTTATTATTAATAAGCCTGAGAGTTACCGGAACGCACCCTGTCAAAATATGAAAGTTCCCAGATCCTGTTCCAGCAGGATCCGGCTCAAATTAAGCACTGCATATTAAGCATTGCTCTCTGGCCCTTGGATTCTGGACTGCCCTTTGGATTTGTTTAAAGACATCTTTAGATCCTGTGCATGAACCTGCAGCCTCTAACTGACCCCAATTCCCGATTACCCCATTGTTCATAGCTATCGCCACGCTTCTCTGCTACTGTGTCTCCACCAGCTACGGTGACGTCATCCATCCTAACTCCGACAGGTGTAAACCACCTTACCTGCCTGAGAAGTTTAGTGGCTGTTCATTAGTAGATATGTTTACATGGACATAAGTAACCAGATAAAATGGCCATTCTGAATAAAAACGCGTCATGTGAACAACCTGGTCGAGTTATTTTTTGTTTATTCAGCGCGATCTGAAATAATCTGTGATTAAAACGAAACAGGTGGTTTACGCTGATTCATAACCCGAACGGTGTGCATGTGAACACTTGATCTGTTCATTTTTATCTGATGGTGAAAAACTGACCTGACTGCGCATGTGCCGCTTTGTCATTTCCACCTGGCTAATGCTAATAATGTTAGCGTGTCGCAGAAACAACTGGTCAGTGAGCGACACAGTATTTCTACTAGAAACTTTTGAAAGAGCTCAGAATGATGTGTATTACCTGCAGCTCAGTCAGGGAGTGCAGTAACGTCTCCACCATCATTAAAACCTGGCGTGGGTCCATTCTAGTGCTCAGGTTTGTTAACGTTCGTCCCGGAAGTAAACCAGAAGTTGAACTTCTTTTTCTGTGTTTTTTGTTAAGGAGAGTTTACCGCTCTGCACATGTCAGTACTTCTGTTCAGAACAAAGCCCGCTGCAGGTAAACGCTCGTCATGAACGGATTGTGCCCATGTAAACAATACATTTGAATTATTTAATCTGAAAACATTTCAATCCGGTCAAAAAATGTTGTGCATGTAAACATAGCTAGTGACAAGCAATCCCCTGGAAACCTACAAACCACTAACTGTCATATCTGCAGAGTTGTTCCCACATCTGGACCCGGACTCCCATCAGCAGCTGTGAACCAATAAACTATTTAACCTTTTTTGTTGTCCAGCTGAGTTTTCAAATCCTAAACCTGATTCTTGTCAAATTTGACCACATGTCGTGTAGACTAAGGTTGATTTACTGTAGCAGCTCCAACCATCTTGATTTGAGTTGACTCCAAAGGTTAACTGGTTCTAATGGATATCCAATGATTATTTTCTGGGAGTTTCATTAAAATCCTTCCAATGGTTCCTGAGATATTTTGCTGACATTGTTGACTGCAATAAACAAACTCGTGCAGACAGAAACATCATCACCCTTTTGCCAAGATTGTTGCTGAAACTTTTTAAATAAAATGCATCTTTTAAGTAAACAGAAGTGCAAGAATGGAAATGGCGTCACATTTTTATTGTGTTACTTAAGAAGGAAGAACCAGAAATTGGTTTTGTCTACTTGTTTTTGTTGCTCTTAAAAACATCTGATTTTGGACATTACACAGAATGAGCAGGTGGTAAAATATGTGGTTTATTTTATTTTTTTGTTGCAAGTGGAAACCTTAAATCATGTCAAACTAAAGACAATTTAAACTTCCAATGTTTTCCAGACATATATTTGTTTTTTTTGTTTGTTTGTTTGTTTTATTTGTGTTGCACATGAATTTCATCTATTCTGAACTGTGTAAAAGCACAGTCCTTGGTCTGTGCACGTTAAATCCTCCTGGCTCCTCGATCACTCCGATGCTTTTGATTGGTTCATGAATAAAGATTTCTCATACAAGGCTGAGAAAGAGATTTAAGTGAATTGTGAACACTGGACAAGTGCACCATGTCAACTCTTTAAAGTCACCACTTCAACAAGTTGTTGAGGTTTTACGCATTATTTGAACATAGTTACACACCAGAAAATGATTTTTGCACTGATGGCAAAACAAAAAGCAAAGTCTCAAGTATTGATGTTTAAATTAATTACATTTAGCATTGCTTGTTTAGAGAACAGGGTTTTATGACTAATCACTAAAAGTGTGATTGTTTTGTAAAATCTCCTTATTTTACATCAAAATCTTATTTGAAAAGGTATAGAGTCATGCTTTGTCATATACCATAATTTCTGGACTATCGAGCGCACCCGAATATAAGCCACACCCACTTAAATAAAATACAATGTGTACACATATAAGACATGCTTGTGTATAAGCTGCAGATGTCCACATTGTAACATGAGATATTTACACAGAAAGAAAGATTTTTTATTTTTTTACTTTTAATTAGATATGTACCAGTAACATACAGTAAATTATTGTTATTATTGTTAATATTTGTGAACACTGTCTGTAGCATGGCTGGTTAAAAGAAACAAAGCAGTAGCTTACCAGGAAAAGTTACTGATCGCTATGTTCATCTTCCTCCTGTGCACTAAAACCACTGACATCGTCTTCTTCAGTGTCAGAATTGCACACGTTCGGAACAACTTCATCACACACGTCCTCAGCCTCCCACCTTTAACTTGACAGCTGCACCTTCTGCATGTCTTCATGTTGTCCATGTTCACTGAACAGATGAACAGCGCATCAAGCACAAAATAACTGATCTGAAGAAATTGGTGTGAGTGCGTTTCTATTTAGTAATTTGAAGTTTTACTGGTCCACTGTGACCTGCGACCTGTCCAGCTAACCTGTCTTCATAAACCAACTGAAAAACGTGACCTGAACATTGAACATCTTAGCATCATGTCTACAAGTAGTAAAAATAATAACAATGTGTTGTCATCATTGTATGTTCCCATACAATGGTGATATCGTCTCTCTGCATTTAACTCATCCATCACCAGGTGGAGCAGTGGGCAGCTATTGAAAGCACTGGGAGCATTTGGGGATGAGGTGTGCTGCTCAGAGACACCACGAGATGTGCAATGATCGGGGATCGATCCTGGACGAGAGAATGAACGATTGTTAAAAAAGGAACATTTTCTCGGAACCAGATGTTACAAATGTATTGATCCTAACGTGTTATTTAAATAAACTACTAAAGGCTCTAACATTTAAGCTTGTGTTAAATAATAACACAACTATAGCTCATCAACTGGTTGCTGACATCTGCCTTCTCAGGTATTCATCCATTAATCAAAGCCATTTTCACTGTATGTAAACAGCTACAGGGGGCTATAGAAGGTGGCACAGGCTGTGAGGCAGGGTTCACTGTGGACGGCGTGTCAATCCATCAACACGCCTAACACAGAAGAGACAGACAACCATCCTCCATTAAATGCATAACCAGTTTAGAATCACTAATTAACCCACCATGCCTTTGGCCTATAAGAAATAGAAGATAAACAACTCTTTCAAATATCTCTAGTACATACTGTTTCTGATGTTTTCGATTGTGTGTGTATATACATATAGCTGAACAGACGTCCGAAAGGAAAGATAGATCAATAGGCTTTTCCTGGTTGTTTCTGTTTATTGCTTGAGGTTGTTGTCCCCGTGGAGGCTCAGGTGGGAGCATCCTGGCACTTGTTTGTCTGAAGGTTACGAGGTCTCTGGCGCCCTGCAGGAGATGAGTGACATGCTTCTCCTGTGATTAAAACCCTTCAGCCACTGGTCTCAGTGACATCTTTGATGGGTTTATGAAAGATGCTTGGTGAAACCCATGAGAGTATTGTGTCATTAATCTCCTTGGCAGCTAATGTTTTTGATTTATCGATATACTGCCATGACACATGTTCAGAGGCAAAACCACATGGAAGCCAACAGGATGAGAATAATTTTATTTTATCTGTGTTTTGCTTTAAGATTCAAGCACCATCTCTTACTTTTGTTGGACCTTCCATGTTGCAGCATCATCAGGCCTTTACTGAATTTAATCAAGATTTATACCAAACCATATTGTGGTATAAAAATACCTTGTTTACCCATCTAAGTGGAAGTTGAGTACTTTCTTAAATTAAACTATCTAATAAAGTAAAGGGATGAGATAGTTAAATTATACCTGTTGTTATTATTGGACAACATTTTATACAAATTTATGTCCCATTATAGTTGTAACAATCCTACCTTATTTTTCTAATCCAAGTTCTCATCAGCAAAATAACCCAATGAAAGATTTTCATTTTATTCTATCAAAAAACGATCCTATAAAAATACACGTTCAAATCTTTTTTGTTGTATGCTTGTTTCAGGAGTGCAAGATTCCAGTCAAGAAAAAGTCTTAACAGTGTCTGGAGAAGGAATGATCCACAGCCCAGACTTCCCACACACGTATCCGAGGAACGTTGTGTTGGTGTGGAGACTCGTGGCAGCCGGCAACATGAGGATCCAGCTGAGGTTTGATGACAGGTTTGGTCTGGAGGACCCTGAAGATGGAATCTGCAAGTGAGTCACCACACAATGCAAAACATTGCTCTTTGATTTGATATGCAAATTATTATTTTTTTTTTTTTGGGGTCCGCGTCGCAGAGCAAAGTAGGAGAATTGCAAATTCCGTCCATCTGTTCATACGTGTTGAGCATGACCTTGAAAAATAAGAGAGGTGTCGGCTTCCATTTTGGTGTGTGGCTGCATCGAGACATAAGAGAATATCCTTTTGAAAATTGGGTTGCCATGTCCATTGCCAAGATGGCTGCCACCATGAAAGTCCATTCGTGTTGTGTGCAAGATAACTTGAAAATAAGAAACTTGATTTTTGTTTTGGTGTGTGGCTTCACTTAGAAGAAAGGTCACTCTCAGTCCAATTAATTTCAGTTCAGTTTATTTCTATATCCCCAAGTCACAACAGATGTTGTCTCAGAGCAATGGACAGAAACATACACATGATGTACATTCATTCAACATTTATTTAAACAGATAAGTCACACTGAGCCTCAAAGACTCATTTACAAGTGAGACCTGTTTGGACAGACAAGAAAAGTGATAAATTGGACACATGTAGGAGTACATGAAGTCAATTAGTAACAATAACTAGCTAAGGAAGCAGCAGACTGCTCATAAAGTGGATTATCATGTCAAAATCCAAGATGGCTGATACTATATAGATAGATAGATAGATAGATAGATAGATAGATAGATAGATAGATA